ATAGCTCCCTCTTCAACTTAAAAACAAGAATATAGTCTATTGTGGGTCTCATATTCCTTTTTTTAAATTCTTCTTCTCCCTTTTATAAGCACTCTTCTCCAAAGAGTTTTTATATTGTGTTCTCATCCTTAACTCCTATTTTCTCTCAACTCCACTGACCTGCTCTTATCAGGGTTATCATGATCTCCATATTGCTAGGTCCATTTCTCAAGAGCATCTGGCTCTGTTGGTCATTCTCTCCTTGCAGAACAGTATTTTATTTTTTTTTTTGTTTGTTCGTTTATTTTTTCACACTGATTTTATTGCAGGGAACTAACATTGAGTGTTTCCCTTTGTTTTTCTTTTCTTTTTTTTTTAATTTTTTTAATAAATTTTATTTTTATATTCCCCATACAATTGCAACCCCCTTATTTTGACCCCAATCCCTCCCCTCCCCGCCCCCCCCCCCCCATAGAGTGTCTCTGGTTCATAGTTTTTTGTTGATTTTGATTTTCACTTTCTTATAGTTATTCTTTTTCCTGGTCCCTTATTTAAGTTTTCTAGATTCCTGCTATGAGTGAGACCATCCGGTATTTTTCTTTTTCTTTCTGGCTTATTTCGCTGAGCATGATCCCTTCCAGGCAGCACAGTATTTTAAACTCTAGGTTTTGTTATTATTTAGACATGTTGCGGCCACCAGATTAGGAGATGACTGCCATTAAAAATGAGTTTTTTATACTCAGATATTCTAAGATAAGGGCGCATGTCACATTACAGAGGGTTAAACAGGGAACACAGGGGGTGGAGGAAGCAGGGACAGGAGACTTCATCAAAATTAAAATAATCTGTGGTTCAAAATTAAATTAAAACTTTTATGCTTTAAAGGACACGAGAGACTGAAAACACAACTCTCAGAATGGGAGAAAGTATTTACAAATCATATATTTGACAAACAGTTTGGCTTTTACCAAAAAATTTAAACATCAGCTTACCTCTTAACCAAGTAATTCTACTCCTATAGACATACCAAAGAAAACTGGAAACATATACACAAAACCTTATTCATGAATGTTTGCAGATGCATTATTCATAATAGCCAACAAGTATAAAAACACAGAAACAACCCAAATGCCCATCAACTGATAAATGGAATTTTTAAATGTGGTATATTCATACAATGGAATATTATTTCACCTACAATCCAAGTACTGATATGTGCTACAATATAGATGAAACTTTTTCAAGGTTTTATCCTCAGTGAAAGAAGTTAAACACAGGGCCTCCCTGGTGGCACAGCAGGTTGAGCACAGGGCTGTGAAGCTGTCCGCAGCCTCTGCAGCGCAGGTTCGATTCCTGGCCAGCCCAGGGAGATTCGCACATAGCGAGGCAGACCTCTCCTGTCTTGCCCGCTGCTCCCCTCAGCAGTGTATTTCAGTCTGTATGCCTGTTCTTCTCCTCGCTCTGTCTCAGGTGAATCCTCTCACCCTCCCATGCTTTTGTCCTGTACCCCAGTTCTTGTATAAAAATAAATAAATCTTTTAAAAAAAACCAAAAACCCAAGTGTTTAAAAAAAAAGAAGTTAAACACAAAAGGCCACATATTCTAGGATTCCATTTATATGAAATCTCTGAAATAAGCAAATTGATAGTGATAGAAAGTAGATTACTGGTTGTCAGGGCCTGGGTAATTGGAGAGGGGAGAGGAACTGGAGAGTTTCTGGTAATAGATATTGGGTTCCTTTTTGGGGTGATGAATGTATGAGTCAGGTGCCCAGACCAAACTTCCATCCTAAATCAGGAACTGCCGTTTTCTGAAGCCTGTACAAAGCGGGCTTCCTGCCCCACCCCCTCCTTTCAAGTAAGAACTATGAAAAAGCTTAAACTTCTATTATTATATGGAAAAATGGTATAAAGTTAAAGAGAAAGCTTTCTTGAGAGGTGATGCAAATGATTTGTTTTGTGTCCTGAAAATTGACAGGTGCATAACTGGTGCCTTCTTGCAAATGAAATGTAAAGTACACCAAGAACTTTCTGATGAGCACCAGCATTACTAAGCCAGCTGTTTTTAATTTCTCTAAAGAATCTGCATGTATGAATTTTTCACATCACAGTAAAGTTCTTTACCTTTTAAATCAATCAAGATGCCCAAAATAATGGGAAAATCTGTTTTGTCGTGGTGGAAACTTCCTACTTTTCTTCTTTGGTTGATAACTTCAGGAATTCAATGCTGGGGTGAAGCTAATTTAATAACCACAGAGGGTAAGACATTGAAAATAAATGTTCCTTAACATAATGCTCAAGGTAGATCTTTTTTCATTCACGGATGTGGTATATACATGGCAAGGAATATATAGATTTCTCTGTATACTTGTTTATAATACAGGCCTTCAAGACACAGAGATAAGAATTGGAAATTCAGTTCCCTGAGCTACCACTGTGAATCATCCCAGCCTTGTTAAGTCAGATTCTGCTTCTCTAGGTCTAGAGAGGCACCTGAGCTTCTGCATTCATAACTAGCCCCCAGATGAAACTGAGGACACTTTGAATGGCAGGATGATGAAAGATGTTTGCAAGTTTTATTTGTCTAATTAATGGTTATCAATACTCTGCAGATTAGAAACTCCCGGAAATATTCTCACAAAAGAATTAGAATTTAATTTTATAGGACCCAAAGTTTTGCCTGAGCATTAGTATTTTTTAAAAGTCTCCCAGCAGATTCCAGTGACAGTTAAGGCTGAGGCCCTCTGCTTTGTGGTTCTAATGTGCAGCCAGGCTTGAGAAAACTGCTCAAAATTATTTGCAAGGGTTTTGACTTCCCCTGTAATTTATAGTAAGTAAGACTATTTTAGGATTTCATAAGTATATTGCATTTCCTAGACTGCACATCTTATATGAAGTAATTAAGTTCAAAGTTTTTCTTTAACATGTGTTTGTTCTCTATCCTGATTTATTGAATATCACACAGTTGTGAACTTGGGCAGCAGGGATCCCCACACCCAACAGAGGCATCTTGCCCCCTTTGTGTAAGGAAAAAATTTTTTTTTCTGTTCATGCTTGAGCAATTTTATTTTCTGGTAATGTGAATTGTGTGAGATAGATATGAAAAGTTAAATGAATGCATTTTCCTGCCCAGGTAAGCAGCTCACTATCTGTATAATGAATAGTTTGCATGAAAGCAAATGTATTTATTTATAAATAGGTAAGATTTGGAGAAAAAACAATTTTGCATGTCTTAGAAATTTTAAACAAGACAAAATCAGACCAAATAACAATTAGTTTAGTAATTCTGAGCTCCTCAGATGCATGATTCATGCATGCTAAGTACTCTTTCCTCTTGTGGATATTAGCTGAAAAGTGTCACCTGCCTGAGAGCTAGCATATGTTATACCTATAAACCCTGCACACAGATACCCTGTACAAGGCAGAGGGAAAAAGCAAGAGAAAATGGATTTTTATGAAAGGCCCAGACAGCAAAGAGGGGAGTTCTGCTGTACGATTTGGGGAATTCCAGAGGAAGTTACAGGCGTTCTCTTTCTCATGAGAAGAAAGCATAAGTGTAGTAAATAAATTTGCTACATAAGTTCAATAGAGACTACACCCAAGATCTTCTAACTGATTTTGCTATATCTCAGTCTCAGCAATAGCCTTCTTTTCAATTCCCGTCTCTCTTCCTTGTTTTCTATTTTATCATATTTAATAAAATAAAAAAAGGAATTATGAAGAGAGTAACAGTAGTATAAATCCCTGAACCTGGCAGTATAGAAGGTGATTGGTTTATTTATGAATAGGTAAGATTTGGAGGAAAAAACAATTTTGCGTGTCTTAGAAATTTTAAACCAGACAAAATCAGACCAAATAACAATTAGTTTTGTAATTCTGAGCTCCTCAGATGCATGATTCGTGCATGCTAAGTACTCTTTCCTCTTGTGAATATTAGCTCTTTCCTCTTGTGAATATCTATCCATATTTGATGGATGAATAAATAAATATTATTGTGCAGGACAGAGTGGGTTTGATATCAGGTAGCTGTCTTAGTTATCAGGGGACTTAATATCTGAAGTATTTGAAGTTGATCCCCATCGTAAAAGGACTTACCCTTAAAAGCATCCTATTAAGAAGACCCAGATTAAGAGATGTTACAAATATTCAATGGATTCCACAAAACAGTCACATGGGAATTTTGGAAGTAAATTTTTTTCACATCTATCATTCCTGAATCTTCTTAACCTGGCAAAACAAGTTCAGGTGTGATTAGCATTGTTTCACATAGAAGCAGCTGTCTTACAGACTTGCCCCATACCCATCCTGCACAAAAGAAAGCAGGGCAGATGTGAACTCCATTCTATACAATAGATCTCTTTAAAAGGCACAGGGATTAGATGCAAGATATAAGCTCATCAATCATTTTTTTTTTTTTTTTAAAGATTTATTTATTTATTATTTATACAAGCACTGGGTACAGTCAGAAGCGCGGGAGGGTGAGAGAATTCACCAGAGCCAGGGCGGGGAGCAGAGCAGGCAGAAGGACCGAAGTACACTGCTGAGGGGAGCAGCGGGCGGCAGGAGAGGTCTGCGCGCCATGTGGGACCCTCCTCTGGTGGCCGGGGAGCAGCCGGGGATCGAACCGGCGCTGCAGAGGCTGCGGGCAGCTTCGCAACCCAGCGCTCAACCGCTGCGCCACCGGGGAGGTCCCCTCATCAATCATTTTTGATCAATTTAAGTTTGTGTATCATACAGTCAGTTGTGCCTTATGGAGATTAAGAATGCAAACTTGTATGCTCTTGGGCAAATTGCAGTTTGATGAGGAAACAAAAGTGAATAGGGTAAGGGTCACTGATTTGCTAAACCCTTATTGGAACTTAGTTTGATCTAGGCACTGGAGACACCAAAATAAACCCAACCTGCTCACGCCCTCTTGCAGGCTAGTCAGATAAAAGACTTGAGTCAAAATGGAATTGCAACCTGAATAATTCAAGCAACAGAAAACAAAAAAAATTATATTATAAAATCTATTGGCTAGGAAGGTCAGGGAATGGATTATCTTGGTTGATAAACTACAGTTGCTTTGAACACTGGTCAGGTTCAGGTTGCTAGTCCAACAGTAGAAAATTCATGTATAACTTTTGATTCTCCCAAAACTTAACTACACAGTCACCCCTTGGTATGCAGGGGGACTGGTTTCAGGACCACAACCATTCCAGAATCTGCAGTTGTTCAAATCCATAATAGCCCTCAGAATGCATGGATTCAACCAACCAATGTCTGCGAGGGTGGCTGGATCTGTGAATCTGGAAGCGGAGACAAAAAAATAATCAAGTATAAGTGAACCTATGCTGTTCAAACCCCATGTTTTGCAAGGACTGACTGTTGTTATCAAAGAATGGCCATGCATTAGCACTTTCCCAGCAATTAAAACATGATATGGGAGAAAGTAACCATTGTGTGCTGACAACTTACTTCCTGCCAAAATAAGGCAATTCACATGTGCCATTTCATCTCATTTTCACCTACAGGTAGATATTAACCTTGTGCCTTTACAGATAAAGAGGCTGAAACTCATGGAGGTGAGGTGAAATGAGCATTCAAGATCAAAGGGCTAATAATCTTGATGTTGTCAGAATTTGAACCCTGTCTCATCTGTCACTAAATCCCATGCTTTTTCTATACCACATTTCATATGGAAACAACTCCTTTAACAGCATATGCTTATGAACCATTCCCTATTATATTTTGAATAATTGGATTTATTAATGAATGAAGCAACTCCACGACCCATACTTTGATCTAATCTTCCATCACGACTCAGAAACTACTTCAAGAACTTGCCCCACCAGTCAGAGTAAATATTCATTCATCACACTCACCCTTTATTCTTACATGTACTGCCTCCATTAGATTTGCCATGTTTGACTCCTCTTTATGCTATTGTTTTTATAGAATTCTTTAAATCAACTCAGCAATTTTTTTTTTTTTAGCAAAATGGTATACCTCTATGGAAAATGGAAAACCAGTATCACTAGCACTGGTAAATAGAGGTTATGAGCAAAAATAAACTCAATGAAAGTAAAGTAGCATACTTTACCCAGATACTAATATCTCTCTGGGTGATTTCAATTTTATTAAAGGGAAAAATAACCATTGTTGGGGCCTCCCCAGTGGCACAGCAGGTTGAACGCAGCACTGTGAAGTTTTCTGCAGCCTCAGCAGCACTGGTTTGATTCCCAGCCAGCCAGGGAGAAACCCACATGGCAAGACAGACCTCTCCTGTCTCGCCCGCTGCTCCCCTCAGCAGTGTTTTCCTCAGTCTGCCTATTCTGCTCCCTGCTCTGTCTCTGGTGAATTCTCTCACCCTCCCTCACCTCTGGCCTGTACTCCAGTTCTTGTATAAATAAATGAATCTTAAAAAAAAAAATAAACCATTGTTGGAGGTGTGAAAATCCAGATATAAATTATATATAATTTGAAGGACATAAAGGGAATTGAAGAGGGAATAAATTTATTTCTGAATAATCCAACCTTCTTTGGGCCTTAATTTTGCCTTAACTAGGATCATTTTGCACACTTCTAGCAGAATATAACTCATATTTTGGGAAATACTGTTTCAGTGGAAACTACAGATTTTGAAGTCAACCATCTGAATTTAGACATCTAAATTTTAAGATCACTGGGGCCTCCCTGGTGGCACAAGTTTAAGCACTGCACTATAAAGCAATCCGAAGACTCTGCAGTATGAGTTCGATCCCCGGCCGGCCAGGGAGCAACATACAAGGCGCAGCAGACCTCTCCTGTCTCGCCTGCTGCTCCCCTCAGCAGTGTATTTCAGTCTGCCTGTTCTGTTCCCCACTCTGTCTCTGGCGAATCCTCTCACACTCTGCACCTCTGGCCTGTACCTCAGCTCTTGTATGCATAAATAAATAAATCTTTAAAAATAAATAAATAAATTTTAAGATCATTAACTGTATGTCCTGGAGCAAATTTGCAGTTCCCTCAACTATGAAACAGTAATATAATGATAGATATTTCATGGTCTAAATGATATCATTATAAAGACCCTGGCACAGTGCCTGGCACGTAGTTACACTATTAGTTCCATTCTCCTTTCCCCTTGTTGAGAGAAAGGGAGTGTTTCTAAATTGGGTTGATTGGGCACGGTTGTTAAGAGCGCTTGGGACATTGTAATGCCTGACCCTGGCAATCGTAGCCAAGTTGCTAAAGTTCCCTGTGTCTCAGTATCACTTTCTAAAAAGAGATGGCACTACCTCCATGGCTTCCTTGGAAGACAGATGAGCATACATTATATGGTGAGTATTCAAAGAATTGGTTAAAAGGCCCTCAGTTACCACAGAGACAGTGACCTCTTTGTACTCAATTACCAGTGAATCATCAAGAAAGTCACTGACCTACATATATCCATTTTCTATCTTTATTGCATTTCTGACATCAAGGCATCAACTGGGAACTCAAGAATATTTATGAAACTTAGAGGAAAAGAAAGGAGGGCTACATATAGTCCATGCACCCCTAAATCACCATCCCTATGTTTTATCTCTTTTTAAATCCTGTTGTGCATCTTGGGTCTTCAGGCAATAGGGAGTCAATCATCCCACTCTTTCTGCCTGAAAGCAGCCCCTCTATCCTGGTCTTTGCCTTAAAAAAGGGGGGAAAAAGAGAAATTAAAAAGGGGAAGACACTATGGTGATGGTATATGGGTGTATTGGTGATGGGCATTTCATGGGGACTATAACTGACATGAAAAAGCATACATTGTAGAAAAATGAAGAACAATGTGAAAAATATATATAATAAAAAAAGAGGGGAGACAAAGTATGTGGAGAGGAAGTGGCCCAAGTGAAGGAATGCAGTAGTGAAAAGATGACTGTGCATGTAGTCCCTAGGCCCACAGAAAGCGTTTTATTTATTTTATATTTTAAAAGATTTACTTATTTATTTATTTATTTATATAAGCACTGGGTACAGTTAGAAGCACGGGAGGGTGAGATAATTTACCAGAGCCAGAGGGGGGAGCAGAGCAGGCAGACTGATGAAATACACTGCTGAGGGGAGCAGCGGGCGGCAGGAGAGATCTGCGCGCCATGTGGGACCCTCGCCCCATGGCCAGGGATCGAACCGGTGCTGCAGAGGCTGCCGGCAGCTTTGCAGCCCAGCGCTCAACCACTGCGCCACCAGGGAGGCCCAGAAAGCATTTTAAAGAACTTACTGATGGGACTGGATCTTTGCTCTCTGTGTGTTTTTTCACATTAGGGAAACAGAAGGAATAGGGAAATCTGGAGTTAAGAAAACAGTGTCCTGAATTTTAGAGGAGGAAAAAGCCTCTGGGAATTACAAGCTATTTAACCCAATGTCCCTCTCCAGGCTATTTAATAGATGAATTGGGATCCAGATTTCAGTGATCATTGAAAGCCTAAATAAATTCTTTTAAACCAAGTGTAAAAAACTACACTTTTCCACCTCATTTATGGTCATGATGATGATAGAGACGATAATACTACTATGCAGTTTATCTTTTTTTTTTTTTTGACAATCAAAACATAACCTTTAATTTTTTTTCTTTTGGCTTGACTTCATTATTTTTTGCCATCTTTTTAAAGAATTTAAAAAATTTTTTACATCATTGTTCATTTTTAAACAATATTTGCTTCCCCCGACCCCCTCAGGTGTAGTCCCCATAGAGTTTCCTTCACCAATGCACCCGTGCACATCACCTCAGTCCCTTGTTCTCCCTCCCTCCCTCTCATCCCTCTCCCTCCTCCTCCCCCGCAGTATGTCTCTGATTTATAATTGTCCATTTTTGCTTTGTTGTGTTTTGTACTATTAGTATTTTTTTTCACTGATGCCTTATTGGGTTCCCCTATATTCCTGCTATAAGTGAAACCATGCAATATTTTTCTTTTTCCTTCTGGCTTATTTCACTGAGCATAATTCCTTCTAGCTCCATCCATGTTGCTGTGAATGGCATGAGTTTATCTTTTTTGATTGCTGAATAATATTCCATTGTGTATATATACCACATCTTCTTGATCCAGTCATCTATTTTTGGGCATTTGGGTTGTTTCCAGGTTTTACCTATTGTAAATAGTGCTGCAATAGAAATAAGTGTACAGGTGTTCTTTTGAATCTTTTTGTGTCCTTTGGGTAGATGCCTGGTAGTGGAATTGCTAGGTCATATGGTAGTTCCCTTTTTAGTATGTTGAGGACTCTCCAGACAGCTTTCCATAGTAGTTGGACCAGTTTGCACTCCCACCAGTAATGTAGGAGAGCTCCTTTTTCACCACATCCTCGCCAACATTTGTTGTTGCTTGTTTTTTTGATATGTGCCATTCTTACTGGTGTAAGGTGGTATCTCAGTGTGGTTTTGATTTGCATTTCCCTGATGATAAGGGATGTTGAACATTTTTTCATATGCCTGTTGGCCATTTGCATTTTCTCATTGGAGAAATGTCTTTTAAGTTCTTCTGCCCATATCTTGACTGGATTGTTTATTTTGTTTTTGTTGAGTCCTGTGAGTTCCTTGTATATCTTTGTGATCAGTCCCTTATCAGTGGACTGGAGTGCAAAGATTTTTTTCCCCAATCAGTGGGGTGTCTCTATGTTTTGGTTAATGTCTCTTTGGCTGTACGGAAGCTTTTCAGTTTGATGTAATCCCAGCTGTTTATGTTTTCCTTGACTTTCTTTGCTTTGGGTGATGAATCTTTAAAGACATTATTGCGATGTATGTCTTGTAGTGTTTTACCTATATTTACTTCTTTATATTTTATGCTTTCAGGTCTTATGTCCAGTTCTTTTACCATTTTGAGTTGATTTTTGTGCATGGTGAAAGGTAGTGGTCTAGTTTCATTTTTTTGTATGTGGTGGTCTAGTTTTCCCAGCACCATTTATTGAAAACAGTGTGTGTTCCATTGCATAGTCTTTGCTCCTTTGTCAAAGGTCAATTGTCCATATAAGTGTGGTTTTATTTCTGGGCTCTCTATTCAGTTCCATTGGTCTGTGTGTCTGTTTTTGTTCCAATACCAAACTGTTTTAATTATGATGGCTTTGTAGTATAGCTTGAAGTTTGGAAGTGTGATAACTCCTTTCTCCTTTGTTTTCATCAGTAATGCTTTGGCTATTTGTGGTTCCATATGAATTTCATCAGTATTTGTTCTATTTCCTTGAAGAATGTCATTGAGATTTTTATTGGAATATTGCTTTTGGGAGGATGGTCATTTTAATAATGTTAATTCTTCCAATCCATGAGCAGGGGATATCTTTCCATTTCTTTGTGTCTTCT